TGCTGCGATCTAGTGGTGCAGCAGGTTCATGGGATTCACTCCAGGCTGGAGACAGGCCCTCCCCAAGCAGGTTTTCCCAGGCTGTTTTCCCAGGTCAAGCCTGATTTCTGCGGAAATCGGGAAATATCCGTGTCCTTGTGCTCTGTACCGACCATTCCTCCCTCAAATGAGAGAAAAATGAAACAATGGACGTTGTTCTTCACACGCAGCAACAGGGAAGGTGGATAATGCACGAGGCAGAAAAGTGCCTTAGGGAATAAAACCTTTTAAATTTGCCACCTGGAGGGTGCTGGAAACCTTCAGGTTTTTGGAGGGGCAATATAAACGATTTCTCTCACAGTGAGCAGCCGGATCACTTCAGAAATCAAGGGATGATTTAGAAATGAAGGTGGCACGAGCACAGCCAGGCTGGCTTGGTCCTTTCCAGCTGAGCAAACTCCTAATCCCCTGGCAGCAAATGAGTAAATGGAGGCACTCGGTGCTCCTCGAGTCACTAGAAGTGTTTGCAGAGCGTGATGAGAGAGATGGAGAAGTGCAGGGAAGAGGGAAAGAGCTTTATTTTTTTTTAATTTTTTTTCTTTTTCCCTGCTCCTTCAGTTCCTCTCAACCCCTCCTTGGGATGCTGAGGAGGGAACGGCATCATTCAGCTTTTCCATGGAAATAGCTTTGTTTTCATCTTCTTCCCATCCCCTCACGGAGATCAGGAGGCTGGAGAGGGTGAGCACAGGGGTGTGATGCAAACCTGCCTGGCTGGGAAGGTGACAGTCCCTGGGGAAAGGGAGGGAAAACGCTGGGCAGAGCTGCCTTGGGCTCTTGGATCTGTGATCACGAAACCTGTCTGGGAAGAGCAGTATCAGAGCAAAGCTTTGTTCACATCCAGCTGCTGAATATTTCATGGAACACCCGTGTCAGACACCGGAGTCTCCGGGAGCGCCTGGAGCTGTGCCGTGCCCCGGGTGCTGCCAGCCTGTCACCGCCCTCAGCGGGCTCTGCTCGGGGCTGTGCCAGGCTGGGGGGATCCTCTCTGGGCTGGAGCACCCCCAGGCCCCAAATCAGGGTCCCCCCAGCCCCCAAATCAGCCCGAATCCCAGCCGGTGGCTCCCTGGCCCAGAGCTGCGAGCAGGGGCTGCAAACTGTGCAGAGGGGTCTGAGCCGGGGAGAGAGGGGCTTGTTCGAGGTGGTTTGCGGGGAAATGACTATTTTGGGGTGTTGCTTTGCAAAAACTTCTCAGGGCAGGCTCAGGTGGTGTCTCAGGGGGTGTTAGTTGGTGTCTGTGCAGGTTTGGAAGGGCAATGCCAGTGTTTCGTTGTGGCCCCACTGATGCCACCCCTCAGGGTTTCACCCACCTCCAGGTTGGGGTGGGCACAGTCTGGACTGTCACAAACAGGCAAATAAAGCTCTTTTTTCCTGCATCTTAAAAGCTGAAGGAAACCTTTCCTGCAATGAAAGCTGGAGCTGCCACCGGGTTAATCTCTCCATGGGGTGCAGAGAACTCCCAGTGTCCAGAAGACCTGGGGAAGGAAAGCAAATAAATCTTGGGGAGTAAAACCCCCTTGCCCAGCAGGCAGCTGTGGCTCTTGGATCCCAGGCTGGGTATTAGAAGCTCTTCAGGAAGCAGGTAAGGATTGAGCAGAGAAATAAAAGTGTCACACTTAAAGCTGGAGGTGTTGGAGCCTCCCCAGGCACGGGTCACTCCCAAAGTGCTCCAGGCACATCACAGAAAACAAACCCAAGGAGGGGGATGACCTGAAATGCTCCCTAGGATCAGAACGACAGAGCTCTGGAGCATCACTCAGGCTGTAGGGTCGTGGCTGGGGGTTCTTAACTCGATGCAGATCCTTTAATCACCAGACCCAGCTCAGGTCGGCTGCTTTTCCCTCCTTTCCTGGATCCATTTCTCTCGCCCTTACACAATCCTTTCCCTTTGCTTCCCTGCCCGCGACACACAAATCCTGCTCTCCCGCTTTGCTGCGAACCCGCCGCAGCTTTTCCCAGCCCGCCGCTATTCCCAGGCTCCCACAGGAGGAGGTTTCCCACAGCTCGCGTTTTGTGGGGCGGGTTTCGCGAGGGCTAAAAGCGATGCCCCGGAGCAGGAGAGGAGCGTTCCCGCTGTGGCAGCAGGTGGCAGTCCCGGACCGGGAACGGCGTGTGCCGGGCTGGGCAGCGCCTCCAACCCCAGCATTCCAGGGGCTTTGCCTGCGGGAGGTGGGCTTTGCATCCTCCCGGTACTGCGGGTTCCCACTCTGGAGCGGGATGGAGCGAACTGAAGGATCCCTTCTCCTTTTAAATCGTTGCCTCCAAAGGAATCGAGCTCTGTGCTTTGGAATCAGGATGAGTGTATTTAAATGCCGGTCCGGGTTTTAAATCCTCTGTATTAATACTGAATAAACCTGCAGGTGCATTAATGAGGCAAAACACCTCTGCCAGAGCTCCCGTGGGTAGGGGATGGGAAGGGCTTCGTGCCCCGGGCTCTCAATGAGGGAAGCACAGAGTGGCTCCAACAGCCCCGTGATTTATGTCCTGGGGGCAGGAAAAGCTGCTGCTCCATTAAAACAAAGTGCCTGGGACATGCATCCATCACCAGCTTTTCCTGAAAGGCTCCACGTGTCACAGCAAGGCGCCCACAAATCCATCTTTTCCGAGTGCAAACGCCTTAAAGGCCGATCAATATTTTTCTCAAAGAGATTGGCTGGAGGAGAGGAGCTCATCTCATCTCATCTCATTCCTCCCCTTTGCCCGTTCCCTGGTTAACTGTTAATTGGATTGCTGTGGATCTCCAAGGGGAAGGAAGGGAAGGGACCCTCCGTGAGGTCCTGAGTGGGGACAAATATCCCGAGGGGAGCTGGGAAGGGCTCAGAGCACCCCGGGGTGGGGCAGGAGTCAGTCCCTCACCTCCCCTGCCTGCAGCAAGGTCTGGCTCAGGGAGCCCTGGGTCTGGGATGTCCTCCTCATGTTCAGCCTCATCCTTGCTGGGAAACACCAAGCCCTGGACCCAAATTCCTGCTGATTTTACAGCCACCTGTCCCAAATGGATCTCGCAAGCACAGGGTGAGGTTTCTATTGCATTCAAACGCTTCACCTCGAGTTGCCAGTGGTTTGCAACTATTCCCCTTGATCATTTTGACCCTCTTTGAGCAGCATTTGCTTATCCCTACATAGAGATGTGTGCAGGAGACACATCTCAGGGTCCTTTCCCTCGTGTGGACAGGCTTGAGGAGCCTCTGGGCTCTTCCTCAGAGCTCTGCTCACCATCTCCTCGCAGGAGGAGCCTCAAAGAGGACCGAGCAAGATTTTGCTCATGGAACAAGCAGATGAGCACTGTGTGCTGTGAAGCAGTGTTTGTGTGGTGCAGGAAGGCAGGGGCCCCCTCCAGATGGGATTCTCTGCTGAGGCTTCCAAAAGCCAGAGGGGACATTTCGGTTCCTTCCCAGCAGGCTGTCTGCAGCCAAGGCCATGCAAAGGAACGAGGAAAAGTGGATTTTGCAGGGCACTGAGCAGCTCGAGAAGTGCAACGTGCCCTTGGATCCCTCTGGAATTAGCAGGAATCAGCACCTGGGAGGAGCAGTCAGCACTGTTTGAGAGGGAGCTCTTGAGTGACTTTCCCCACTCCCGCCCTAAATCCGGCTCCACAACAGGATCCCCGTGGAAATGGCAAACCTGGGTGAAATTTAATGTTTCCAAAGGTGCTGAGCAGCTGCAGGATGAGGAGTTGAGCCCGTGCTTTGGTGACATTGATATCAAAACATCCCCACCTTTAACGCCAGGTTTCCTTGTGCTTTGTTGCTGATCCCTCTTCGCCCCCGGAGGCAGGGGATGGGTGGCTGGAATTCTGCTCAGCACTGGGCTCTGCACTGTCTCAGCTCTTCCTAATTGATTTATCTGCCTTGGTTTGCAGCAGCTGGGCTGTTGCTGCCCTGCAGCACCTGCTCTCCGAGTCTGGTTTGTGTTACTGCATCCATCACTCACGGGGAAAACTGCAGCCCAAAGCTGCTTTCCCAGAGCCCCTGAGCATGAGGAGGCCCTGGCACAGGGTGCCCAGAGAAGCTGTGGCTGCCCCTGGAAGTGTCCAAGGCCAGGCTGGACAGGGCTTGGAGCAACCTGTGCTAGTGGAAGGTGTCCCTGCCCATGGCAGGGGGTGGCACTGGGTGATCTTTAACGTCCCTCCCAACCCATTCTATGATTTGCATTGGATTGTTCCATATAAGTAGTTCAGAGGATACATGAAATATATATAAAAAGGGTCAGTGTGTTGCTTCCAGAGAAAGCTCCTCTCTTAGTTCAAGTTTTGCAGCCTCAGCAGAACATTTGGAATGTAAAAAAAAAAAAAAAAGAAAAAACGCAGGGCAAGGAGAGGCAGCAAAACCTCGCTGTGAGTGTTTCCTGGGCGGGGGAGGCTTTAATTAAAGTGACACTCCTGATCACCAAGAGGCTGAAGAGATGTCTGGGCTGCGATGTTCACCTCTGCTGGGTCACTCGGCGGGGGACAGCGCCTGGTTTGGGCCACTCACCAGCTGGCACCGCACCCCGAGCCAAGATGTGGCGCTTCAGCTCCTCCCCAGCGGCCCCGCCGTGGCAGAATCGCCCTTGAGGGGGGGATTTGCCCCTCACGGCGGTGCTTTGGGGGGGCCCTGGAGGGTGCTGAGCCCCCCGCAGCCCTTCCCCTGGGTGACCCCAGCGCTCAGAAAACACTTGCCCTTCCCTGCCCAAAAGACTCGAGCCGGTGGATTCCCAGCCCGGGGTTGCGCCTTTGGCGCCCGCGGGGATTTTTCGGGGAGGCAGAGCCGGGGCGGCGCGGCTGCGGCTGCTAATTAACGGCCGCGCTAATTAACCCCTCCCCCTGCCTTAGCCCCCTCCCCGCCAGCCCCTGCCTTCCTCCCTCCCTCCCTGCCTCCTCCTCCTCCTCCCGGGGCGCGCTCGCTCTCCGCCCGCCCGGGAGCGCGCAGTGCGGCGCGGCCGCGCCCGGGAGCGCGCAGTGCGGCGCACCGAGCCCCGCACCGAGCCCCGCACCGAGCCCCGCACCGAGCCCCGGCTGCCGCCGACCCTCCGCTCCTCACCGGGTAAGGGGGTCCCGGGGGTGGGCACCGGGATGCGGGAGCGGCCCGGGGGATGCTCGGGGCGGGCGGAGCGCGGGGCACGGCCGGGCGGGGGGTGAGGGTTGGTCCCCGCATCCTCACCGCGGATTTGGGATCTCGCTGCCTGCAGAGTGACACCTTCCCCCTCCCTCCCCCGTTTTTTTGGTGCCCGGACCCCGTGCGGGGGGAGGTGGGTACCGGGCTGGGGGCATGTGATGGGATTTTGGCTCTTACGTCACGACATCGTGTCCGCGCGTGTGATAAAATCCCGGGGTGGCAGCGCGGGGGGACGGGGGGGAAGCGCAGCCCGGGGACAGACCTTTGTGTGACACGGCAAGTTTGGGGCCCCAAAGCTCCCCCGGGGGACGAGGGCTTTGCCCCGCGGGGAACCCGGACCCGGCGCTTCCCTCTCGTGCTCGGGGGCGGATCCGCCTTCTCCCCTCGGAGACCCCCCGCGCTGGCAAAATCCATCCGGCGAGGCCTCTCGGAGGACTCCCGGGCTGGGATGCGGCGCTGGATGGGGCCGGGCCCCGCCGGAGAGCAGCGCCCGGTGCCGGCCAGGTTTGTGATCCGCGTGATCCGGCCGCGCCTGCAGCAGCCCCGCGATCGATCCGGCAGCTCCTGGAGGTGGGGAAAGTGCTGAATCATTTGTGCTCCCGGCTCTCCGGGCGGCTCAGCTGCTCCCCAGCTCCGGCAGATGCTCGGGAAGGGGCTGCGGAGGGCGAAGGAAACTCCGCTGCGTGTGCGAGGCCGCGCCGGAGGTGGGAATGCTGCGGGCCCGGGAGAGGGAATGCTGGGCTGGAGCGCGGGGCAGTGTCCTCTGCCGTGGCCTCAGCTGCTCCTTGGAGGACAGGGAGCAGGGAAGATGCTCCTTGCATCCCGCCGAGGCCTGTGGGCATGGCACCGTGGGGGATTACGGGCGAAAAAAGGGAGGTTTTTCTCCAGAAAATCCTGTCCCTGCTAAAACTGGGAAAGGCTGGTGCGTCTGGCTTGGACGGGTTTTTCTTTTTCCTTTTCCTTTGAGCTCGTTTTTCAAGGTCAGCTCCTCGGAAGAGCGCGTGGGCCGGGGGGCACTCCTGAAAGTCAAGCAGGGATGTTCCTGGCTGCTCCCTGGGAGGGAGGCGGTGCAGAGGGGCAGGGGGGATGTGTTGCAGGAAAACCGGGATGCTGCCATGCCCAGCCAAGCCCGGCTGCTTTAAGATGGATCCTGTGGCGCTGTGGTGTTTCCGGGGTGCTCCTCTCAGCCGCTGAGCACAAAGGCAACAATCCTGTGACTTTTCCAGAGCTGCTGATTCCTTTCTTTCTGCCCGAGGTTCTGTGAAACCCCCACCCTTGGCAGGCACTGACGGGCAGCGTGGCTGCTTTGTTCCCAGAAAAACTTCTCTGCCTGGCCTACCCTGAAAGAAAACCCCTCAAACGCAGCATCCTCCTTTTCATTTCTATTTCTGGCCTTTCTCTTCCCCCCCCCAGCTCCAGGCTGGGCTCTTGCTGACTTCCCTTTTTTTTTGTGTGCGTGTGTGTGGTTGTAACAGGAATCCGACATAAATAATGCATGGAGGGCTGCTCAGCTGACAGAGGACGGGCTCAAGTTGTTAAATTTGAAAATAAGACTTTGTTTACAGGGGTTGAGACCCGGGGACTGGCTTTGTCTCGCTGGAGCTGCACGATGGGGTTGGTTCTTGGGATAACAAAGCTCCGTCCTCATCCTCAGCCCTCTCAGGCTGTTTCCCGAGCTGGGCTGTGGCTTTGGGATCTGATTTAAACCGAGACAGTCAATCCAATCACCTCTTCTCCCAGCTAATGATTAAATGGAAAATATCCCAAGCTCTCAAAAGGTATTAATTCATAATGAATTATTTGCCTCGCCGGGATCTAATTGTCTTCGCGGGGTCCTGTGCGTAAAATCGATGCCGCTGCTGGCAAAGTGCCACCACAAAGGCTTCCTGCGCTGCTCAGGCAAGCAAAGGTGGGCTAATATCTTTGGTAGAACTGGCAAGAAATGAGGATTTGGTCCTGCCTGGGCTCCTGGCAGCCGTGTGGGGCGCTGGGAGGAGGCTGATCCCACGGGATTCCCAGGAAGGAGGGCAGGGAGCCCCAGGGATGAGCTGCTGGTGCAGCTGCTCAGGGAGAGCAGGGGGGGTGTTGAGGTGAGGGGTGATCCATGAGGTGTCTGTTCTGTGTGTCAGGGGCTGTGTGGGACCGGGAATGAGATGCTCCAAGTGCTGCCCCAGGAGCTGCTGGTGCTTTCCATGATCCCGAGGAAAGGGAGAGGACATGGGCGGGAGGCAAAGGGACCTTTGTCGGCTCAGGCTGATGGGAGAGGGGCAGTGGAAGGAGTTTAAAGGAGTTTAACTTTCCACTGGAGTGATTCCCACTTCCAAGACTCTGTTCCAGGCCTGGCTGGGTGACCCTGGGGGAAGGACCTGAGGTGACCTTGGGGGGAGGTTGCTGGGTGAATATTCACAGGTCCCAAGGACCTTGCCAGGCTCCAATCCCCTCCCTCTTCTGTCACCTGTTTGACCCCACTGAGCAGGAATGTGGTAGTTTGGGGGTGTCTCTACAAAGCACTGCCCAGTGTCTCCAGAAATGGAGCTCACCTGGGCAGGAAACTCAGATTTAACCCCACTGTGGTTGTTTGCACTGGATGTCTCTGAGGAACACACAGAAAATCAGATTTTCCTGGAGTCTGAATAACAGCAGAACCCGGGAGGGGACTTCTAAAAAACCCAAGCAAGAAACCTCTGGTACTTCCCTTTAGAAGGTTTGTTCCTTGGGTTTCATTTGCCCTTTACCAAAATATCCCCCTGTATCTTCAAACTGAGCAGGCAGCTCCAACCACGGGTTGTGTTCACTTACAGCTTTTGAAAGGCTCTTGCAAATCTTGTCAGGGAGGTCTAGCTTGTCTCCCTGCCCTGTGGGTAACTCCTTTCAAAAAGGATTTTCTTCATTTTAAATGTTGTTGGATGACTTCTGCTCCAGCTTTTCTCTTTTTTTCCCCCTCCTGCTCAAGCAGGTCACACCTTCATTCCTTTACCTTGGCTGTCCAGGATAATTATTGCATAATTTTAGAGATCCAGCTCAGAGTGAACCTGCCTGAAGTTGTTGTTACGTTAAATAATCCCCCTCCCTTTCTTTTTCTTTAATCCAGATCTGAAAGAAACAGTGCTGTGTTATTATGGATTAAAACAGAGCAGGATTTAGACCTCAGCCCTGCTTATAGGGATCACCATTCCCAGTTAATGAGATAGGAGGAGAAGGATTAACAACTGAACAAGTAGAGATGGGGCTGTGTGGCTAAACCAGGTAGAAGTTCCCAAGGATACAGGGGGACAAGTCTTTGCTTTGTCCCTTTATCTCCCCTCGGTTCAGAGCCCTTTGGATCTCATCCCATCCTGGGAGATCCAGGCCTGTTCTCTTCCCTGTGGGAATGCAGCTGGGAGAGAACAGCCCAAGGGCACAGGGGAGCAAAGCACCCACTGCAGGCAGAGCTGGACCAAAGGCCTTGGGAACAGGGAATGGAGAATTCCCTTCCCAAAGCAGAGTCTGGAAATCCTTTCCTGGCCTCGCTCTGCTCCTCAGCCGAGCCCCAGCACGGGGCTGCTGCATTCCCAGGCTGGGGGGAAGAGGCAAGAGGGGGCTTTGCACAGCCAGGATTCAGTGTAGGGGGACACAGGCAGGGCTGATAAATCCCTTGCACTGGCCTGGATGCTGCTCTCCCACCTTGGGAAGCAAACGTTGCCCCTTACAGATGGCTGGTTAAAGGGTGCAGAACCCAGAGGCTTTTGGTGCAAGGTGAACCCGGAGGTTCATTGGAATTCCTGGCAGGTTTTCTGCTGCTTTCTGCCTCCCTGGCAGGGGGTTTTGCCATTTTTCCAGCACGGGGACCGATGGGTTCCTGCAGACAGTAGGAATCCTGAGGCCCAGCAAGGGTGATCCTGTCGGACTGTCAGCCCGCATCCTGAATTCCTCCTGAAATGTCCTGGCACGGATGGGCCGGGCTGGCAACTGCAGTGGGAGCTGGGAGGGTGACAGGGCTCTCCTTGGATCTGCAGGAAATGCAGCGAAATCCTCTTTCTGCTCTGAAGTGCTCCCTTTTCCTGGCTATCCCATAAAAGAATCACAGAATCATGGACTGGGTCGGGTTGGGAGGGACCTCAAAGCTCGTCCAGTGCCACCCCCTGCCATGGGCAGGGACACCTTCCGCTAGCCCAGGTTGCTCCAAACCCTGTCCAACCTGGCCTTGGACACTTCCAGGGATCCAGGGGCAGCCACAGCTTCTCTGGGAAACCCGGGAATGACAAGGACGTGACTGTTGTGGGTGGGAGAGGGACCCTCGCGGAGCGGCCCCGTCCCGTCCCATCCCGCGGGGCTCCGGCCGCTCTCCAGGGTCCTGAACCGCCCGCCGGGGACCCACCGCGAGCTGGGGGCTCTCGTGCCCTCCCCCTTAGCCCCCGAGGTGTCCTCTCCTGATTTCCCCTCGTGTCCAGGGTAAAAAGGGATAACAGGGACACGCTGAAATAAGAGGATGCAAGAAGGGGGGGACGGTTCCCCCCTCCTCCCTCTCCAGCAGGACTGGATTACCCGGAGAGGGTGGGTGGGCTCCACCCTTCTTGGACAGGTGTTTTAAACCTGGATAAAGCCCCCCCAACCCGGGCTGGGCTTAGGGCTGAGCCTGCTTTCAGCTGATGGCTGGGCTGGCTGACCTGCCGTGGTCCCTTCCAGCCAGAAGTGTTTTGTGATCCCATCACCTCGAGGGTTTTCCTCAGCGGGGAACAAAACAACCTGCTCCCTGTTCACATCCCTCTGAGAACCTTCTCTCCTGTACAGAGACTGTCTGTGCTCACACCACCGGGGAGCTGGTTTATTGGATATTCACAGCCCTTTTTATTGAGTATTTGCACAGCCTGGGGGCAGGGAAAGAAATAACAGCAATGACACCATTCCCTTCTCCCTCAAAGGTGAAGGCCAGCCCAGGCTCTGGAAGT